CCCCCACCCCCACTATCATGACCCCAGTTCTACCTTACAAATCCGGCTAGACTGGAGCATGCACACTGGTATAGATAAGAGCTCTTGACACACAGAATCCAGGACAGATAAACCCCTCAGGACCAATATTGAGAGTAAGGGGAAGGTCAGGAGAAAAGGGGACAAACAACAGAAACATGGGTGAAGGGAGACAGCAGACATTGTAAAATATGAAAATAAAAATAATTTAGAAATTGTCAAGGATTTAGGAGGGTGGAGGTGGGAGGGGAAAAAGGAGGAGCTGATATCCAGGGCTCAAGTAGAAAGAAAATGTTTTGGAAACGATGATGCCAACATAAGTACAAATGTGCTTGATACAATTGATGTATAGATTGTTGCAAGAGCTGAGCTGTAAGAGCCCCCAGTAAAATGATTTTTAAAAAAAGCTGTGAGTGTATTTGATGGAATTGGATTAAAGCCTTTCTAAATTTAAAATTTTTTATTGTGAGGAGAAAGTATCTTTTCTTTCTCCCTACTGTTCCCTATTTTATAAATCACCACACAAGTGGGAGTGGTTAGGGATTCAGTTGTACGTTATCTGCCTATTCTTGGGCAAGCCCAAATGATGGTTGTCATCTTCCGTACTCTTTCTCAGGCTTGGCAGCTGTCCGCTGTCCGCTGCATGTCTCACTGGCTAGGTGGCCATCTCTGCAGCCTCTCTCTCAGTCCTATAACCCTCTTCATAGAGCTCACGCTTAAACCACTGCTACCCCCACCCCCACCCCCACCCCGTATCACTATATTTCTTCTCCAGGTAAATTTTAAGACTCTTCAGTTACGTGATCACTGTATTTGATCGTTTGAAGCATTTTCTACACATGTAAAGTTGGCATGAGCAAATGAACTGCACTGCTAACCACAACATCAGCAGTTCAAAATCACCAGCTGCTCCCACAGACAAAGATGAGTCTTTCTATTCCTATCAGGAGTTATAGTCTCAGAAACCCACCTGGGCAGGTGTGCTCTGTCAGATAGGGTTGTTACAAATCAAAATCAACTTGATGACAACGGGTTTGGTTCTATTTATTGGTATCTGAGATAGTTAATGTTTATTGTGTCAACCTGGCCAATAAACACATGTGGGGGTAATTGAAGGACGGAGGGATAAATG